TTCAGTCTTCCACAGTTCTGAAAGGAAAAATTGAGTACCTCCCTTTTGAAAACAAAACCAGTTTGGGGCAAAAACTTATACCACAGACATCGCTGAAAAGAATAAAACCAAGAGAGTGGATTTTCTTATGTCATTCAAGTACATTATAAATTTTAAATTATCTTGGGAATAAAAAATAATGTTTTCAGTTTAATGACCCTTTTCTCCCAGTCCCCAGAAAATTATTACTACTAGGTATATATCTAAATGTATACTTCAGTCTATCTAGTTAAATACTAAATGAAGCACATATAGTCACACAATTGAAAATCAAATGGTAAGTTATACTGGTAATATTCTTCATTAATGTGTCAATGTTTTAAAACCAACCAATAGGAAACAAACAATCTGCTAGGGAGTTCTTTGCTTCTGAAGTATTTCTTGGTACAAGATGTAAGGAAACTTTCATCCCAGAGATAGCCAATAAAAAAATGAGACACAAGAAAAGAGAAGGAACTCTCAGGCATAAACTTCGATGGAGATTTCTGGAAAGCAGAGGTGGAGTGGTGGAAGGATGTGAGTTGTGTGGAAAGGTGCAGGGGAGGGATAGGGAGGAATGTGGGGATGGAGTGGAGGAGGTGTGGAGAAGGCGTGCAGGGAGAATGTGAGGCAGCCCTGACAAGTCTGTTGGCCAGACATGAGATGACAGGACAGATCCTCTTAGCAGTGGTTGGGCATCCCAGGGTCTGGTCATTTGGTAAATTTCACTAGTCATGAGGATAGCATTGTCAAGAAACCTCTTCTTTATGGTTAAAAAGATTCCCTCAAGTAAGACATGCATCTATGGTGGGTTCATTTTGGGAAACATAAGTTGGTACCCTTGTCCTGTGAGTTTTGTCCTTTCAGAAGACTAGGAAGATGAAGGGACACCTTAGCCACAAAGGAGAAAAGAGACATACTGCAGTTTTATGGGATAGGATTCAAAACTGTCTTGTCTCCATGTGGGGATTCTGTCTACTTTTCACTGTTATAAACTATGAGTGGATTTGTAAAAGTCCTAGTTAAAACGAACACATCTTCAGATTCTGTTCCGAGAACCTGACCACTTCCGTTATCCTTTCCAGTTGATCCAACAGTCACAAAAACAGGTAAGTTTTATTTATACAATCTTTACTTTCCTATCCTCTCTAAACAAAGTAATGGATTGATTAATGTGATCACACTATCTAGTTTGATCCCCAACAATTCTGGGTGATAGCTTTTGCAATCATTAAATGTTTGACAGTTTTCAACCCCACAAATTAAGATCCCCAAGTTTCTAACTGGAAAAACAGCTAAGGTTCCTCTATTGAGCAAATCTTGCTAAAAGAGTTGTGTGTGTGGTTTTTTTTCATTTCTGATTTTTACAGAAAATTGTGAGACTAGAATCTTCATATCACCGGGCAGAAGATGTAGCTTCCCATTGTGCTGTTTCACTTAGCAAAATATTCTTTCCAGTGGGTATTTGGTGGACTGAGTGTGTCCTTCAGTGGTAAGCATAGGGCCAGCATGTGTGTGGCCCCGGGTTCCATCCCCAGCACCAAAGAAACTCAACCAAGCAAACAGGCAAACAAACAGAAGTGTATTTGGTAAGGTATAGTATTCAGAGAAACACAAAGCTCATGGTTGTACGTTTAAAAACTGCAGTCTAGCCAGGTGCCAGTGGTTCATGCATGTAATCCTACCTACGCTTACTAAGGAAGCTGGGATTTGAAGATCAACCCAGGATCTCCTGCCAACTCAGGCAGGAGAAAGTCTGTGAGACTCTATCTCCTATTAATTACTAAAATGTTGGAAATAGAGCAGTGGTTTAAAGTGGTAGACTGCTAGCCTTCATCATAAAAGCTCAGGAACAGTGCTCAGGCCCTGAAGTCAAGCTCCAGGATACACACACACACACACACACACACACACACACACACACACACACTAGCAGCAGCAGCATGAGACAAGTTTTTCTCTATATGTGGAAACTAGAACTAATTTATAAATGTACAAATAAAGACATAAGGTGTTGTATTCAAGTGTACACAAATATATTTAATTGAAATATGGTATTTTCAGGGGAGAATTCAAATGGTAACATTCCTTAGGAAAACGAACTCATAGTCCAACAAAATGAATACCAGGAAACTGGCACTTGTGTGGGGGAAGGTCAAGGGAAGAAGAGAAATGCAGTCCTAATATTCAATGCATATCCAATGAAATTAAGAAGACTGAGGGAAGGGGTTGGGTCGGGACAAATGGGAAGAATGATGAAAGGGTGACATCGATCAGGATGCATTGCACTTAGAAACTGATTAATTAATGGTAATTCTTTTGTACCACTAAAGATAATAAATATGTAATTTAAAAAAAAAAAAAACCTAGAAGACAGGCACTGGTGGCTCACACCTGTAATCCTAGCTACTCAGGAGGCTGAGATCTGAGGATCACAATTCAAAGCCAGCCCAGGCAGAAAAATCCATAAGACTCTTATCTCCAGCTAACTACCAGAAAACTGGAAGTGGTGCTATGGCTCAAAGTGGTAGAATGCTAGCCTTGAATGAAAAAGCTCAAGGATGGTGCCAAAGCCCTGAGTTCAAGCCCAATGACCACCAAAGCAAAAAACCAAAACAAACAAAAACTCCAAAAAACTAGGTGTAGTGGTACACACATATAATCTTAGCACTCAGAAGACAAAGACAGGAGAATCATGAGATTGATGCCAAGGAAACAAAAAGACCCATGTTTGTTTTTTCAGGTTTGCTCACAGGGATCAGTGGAATATTTTTCTCTACCTTGGATCTATTTACCTAACATTTTTGCAGGTTGACTCTGTGTTTACTAAATATGAATAGCATCTCATTCAACATGAATAGCCATCTCAGGGTTTCAGTGAGTAGTATCACTCAAAATGAAAACACACAAGTACACAAGCACACACACACATGCACACATGCATGCATATACATGCACATGGACAGGCACATGAACACAGATATGTAGTAAAGCCTAAGGGAATGGTGAGCATTTCCAAGATGTTTTGTTTTCATCTCAGCATTATTGACATATTAGGCTAGAAAATCCTGTTATAGAAAATTCCTGTGTGCATTACATGTAGCACCATCTCTGGCCTCACTACCCACTAATATTACTCATTAATATTCCCTTCTAGTTGTGACACCCCCAAAATAATCTCTGAAGAGCATTCATGTCCCTTAAGGGGGCAAAATTATCCCAGTGAAAATCTGACTTCAGTACAACCATCCAAAAGGGAATTCTAAAAGCCTTGTTTACATCATGTAAGTGTTACTTCACAAACATCCCCCAAAGATGGCTGTCAACTCCAGGGACTCCATGATGGCCTGTAATATGCTGACCTGTATCAGAGCTGTGCAGAGACCATTCAAGGCTGAGCACTTGATCTGTTATCATCTTTATCATGTAAGTGGCTGTCTCTAGTGGAGCCATTAAGAGACAGCCTATTTAGACTGCAACTGCCTGCTAAGGCAAACACTCCTCTGAGTGTCCTAAGAGACACGTTTGTCACAATGACTAGTTTTCACAACTATAGATCAGTGACCATTATGGTTGTTGCTACAAAGCTTAATTCACCTCATAATTTCCCATTAAAGGTCTTTTAAAAAATAAGTAAGGAAAATCACTTTATCTTAAAACAAATTAAGCACCCAGTCATCACCATGTAATAACACTAGCAAAAAACAGTATAATATTTACTAAAAAGCAAATGCCACAGGTTCTACAGATCAATTTAAAAATGTTTCAAAGTTCCTCTTTCCTTACTAAAATTAAAAATGCTTCTGTTTCCCAGTTCTAGGATTAAAGCTTTGGTCAGCTTAATAATGTTCTTAAAATGCTATAGAAAGCAATTACTTTCAAATTACAAAAAAAGTTGGTATAGTATGATTAATCTCCCAAGAATAAGTATGGGGTATTAGAATGCATATTTAAATATTAATATATTTACTATTTAATATTAATATTAAAATATTTAGATATACCAGATAGATTAGTACTTAAACATAAAATGCTTCAGCTAATAGGAATTTTTTCATGGCCCTGCTCTTTATTGTACAGAGAAAAAGGAAAACAAATACCTGCTCTAGCTCTGTATAAAGCAAGAAAAAATTAGGAATTTTTTTGTCGTTGGTCTTTGTTGAGCCTTGAATTCAGAGCTTGGGCACTGTCCCTGAGCTCTTTTGCTCAAAGCTGGTGCTCTACCACTTTGAGCCACAGCACCACTTCCGGTGTTCTGGTGGTTAACTGGAGGTAAAAGTGTCACAGTGATTTTTCTGCCCTGGCTGGCTTTGAACTACAATCCTCAGATCTCAGTCTGAGTAGCCAGGGTTATATAGGCATGAGCCACGGGTGCCCAGCAAATTTTTTTTTTTTTACTATTATAAGGTGATTTTTGTAAAACCACCACCAATCAAAAATTTAGAAATTTAACATGGCTCCTTTAGGAACACTTTGACACGTCATGAAAGTGTCAAACACATGTACAAATATGGACTGAATCATAGAAGTCTAAGAGGAAAAGAAAAAATTGGTCCATTCTCGCCTTATAAAATGTATTTTATTTTACTTAGTCACTTTGGACCTAGAACATCCTGCTTTTTATGTAGTTAGTTTTGATTACATCAGGGTTGGAAGTCAGGGTCTTGCACTTTACTAGACAGGAGTTCTACTCCTGAGTTGGGTCTCTAGACCTTTTCCTCACTGATTAGGATTTGTGATAGGTCTTGACTGCTGTTATATCTACAATGACAGGCATAGGACACATCCAGCTTCTTCCACTACGATGGATTCTTGTAGGTTTTTCTGCCACAGCTGGCCTTGAACAGTGAATTTCCCCATCTCTGCCTCCCAACATATCCTGGAGCTTTATACTTTGATCAAACCACTCTAAGACTCTCCAGCCCAAAAGCAGTTTTCTTTCAAATATATCCATTTTTGTTTAAGAAATAGAAGGAGTCCAATTTCTTACTTTACACAAGTTTATTTTTATTATAAATTCACTCATTTTGGACCCAGCATGTCCTTTGGTTTCACCCACTCTTCAAACTGCTCTGCAGTGAGATAGCCCAGCTCTATAGCAGTTTCCTTCAAGGTTGATCCTTTTTTGTGTGCAGTCTTAGCGATCTTTGCTGCCTTGTCATACCCTGAAGAAAAAACAGACAACAGCAAGATTAATAGTGCAATCTGGTTTTCTAAACAAAGGTGATTATCACTGCTTACTTCCTATTGGTGTTATAGGCCTCTTAGATATATTTCATTTTTAAAATAGATGTGATTATATTAACAGCTGCCATTTCTCACACAGAATAAAACTTTCACTTTTCTTAAGGGATACAGACTTAAAACATATCCCACCTCCAGCAACAGATCTGTTCCTAGAATGAAGCTGAAGCTGAGATCTGAGGATTGTGGGTCAAAGCCAGCCTGAGCAGGAAAGTCCATGAAACTCTTATATCCAATAGACTACCAAAAAGCCAGTTCCTGTGGTAGATGGCTAGCCTTGAGCATAAAAGCTCAGGGACAGTGCACATACCCTGAGTTCAACTCCCACGACTAGCACAAAAAGAAAAAAGAAAATTACAACACTCCAGGACTGCAGAGCGTACAGCACTGGCCCAGCGGCAGCTGTGTAGATGGCTGTGGAGAGGTGAAGAGTGCTCTCAGCAAAATTGAGCAGCCAGGGCTCTGGGGAGAGCAACACCTGCTGAGCTGCCTCCCAAGCCCGCCTCTGAACTCTCCACTGAAACAGCCCTAAACCCTGGCCTTCCTCAGGTATGAGGCAGGGTGATGCATATTAGTTACCCCAGAATTCTCAGGCTGATGTAGAGGGATTTTTAGTTGCGGAGGGGGGTGGGAGGGGTGATGGTAAATACACACACACAAAGATCACAAAGATATGCTGTTTAGAATTTTTTGCTTTTTATAAAAAGGTAGGGACTGGACAGTTTCCTAAGTTTTGGGTTTTTTTTTGGGTCCGGTCGTGGGGCCTGAACTCTGGGTCTGGGCGCTGTCCCTCAGCTCTTCAGCTCAAGGCTAGCGTTCTACCACTTGAGCCACAGCGCCACTTCCGGGTTTTTTTCTTTTTTGCTTATGTGGTGCTGAGGAATCGAACCCAGGGCCTCTGGCATGCAAGGCAAGCGCTCTACCACTGAGCCACCTTCCCAGCCCCTCCTAAGTTATTTTGACAAAATGTGGAAGGAACTATGAAAAAAGAGGGAAGGAAGGGAAGGAGGGTTGGGAGGGAGGGAGGGAAGGAAGGACAGCCCATGAAGAAATATGAATACAAAGCACTAAAAAGATCAGGAACTACCACCAAAGGGAAGCCTGTCCAGGCAAATATGATAGTTAGGAAAACCAGGTGTTACCTATCTGTACACAATAACTAGTAACCATATGTAGAACAAGCCATGGGCATGGCAGGTTCTATTACTGAACTGAAGCTGCAATGCCTGGTATGTTGATGAGGGCCTCTGGTGAGCTACAATGTGGAAGCCAAAAGGCTCAAGCTCAGCCACCTGGTTAGCAGTTTGCCCAGCCTCCTCTCCCTCTACCCCCAGGTATGTCTCACTGCATATTAAACTGATTCCACAAAAAGACTAGTCACCCAGCTTCAGGAGTTTGTTCTAAGGCCTTTAGCAATACATTCTGATGAAACAGTTCTCCTACAAGTCATTGGGATCCCTCTGTAACTTTCTAGGTGGATGATGATATATAGAATTGTAAATGAATCAAAATATCATTATCATCCTTACTACACCAAAAACTACAACTACCTAAAATATCAGAACTACCTAAAATATCAACTAAGCTCCAGACTGAACTGAAACTACAGCTAATAAGAAGCCAAGAATATAAAATCTGCCCTGCACATTTAGGGTTATATAACGTTTTGTGTGATTTTCTGGGGCAAGGAAGGCAGGGTTTCCTGCTTGCTGGGTAGGTACTCTACCACTTGAGTCACATCCCTACTTCCTTTTGCTTTTAGTTGTTTTTTTGGAAAGGATCTCACACATTTACCTCAGAGCTAGACCCAGACTCCAACCTTATCATCTGCACCTCCCATGTTGTTAGGATTATAGGCATGAACCACCATGTTCAATTTGTTTGTTGAAGTTATAGTCTTACTTTACTTTATGCATGGGCTGGCTTTAAACCATAATCCTATCTCTACCATCCAAGTAGCTGAGATTATAGGTACAAGCCACCATACTCAACCTTGGAATGTTTTATTGTCATGCCAAATGACTGCAACGTAACTTGTTCTAAAACAAAATCAAAGACTTGAGCTACTAGTCTTTTTTAATAAATCACAATATTACACACAACAAACTGTAATGAGTCCCTCAAAACCTACAGAAGTCCAAATAGCCTATTTAATGGAGATTCCATTAGGCCACAATCAAAGTCTGTGTGTTTGATTCTACATAATGAAATAGAAAAGTCTTGCAATACAAAAGCCCAAGCTTTACACAAAATATTTACATTTTCTTTCCTTTCCTTGTAAGTTGTACACACATACATGTTTTCTCTGAAATGACAACATATCTGAATTAGATAAAATTACAAATCAAAGTATTGTGGGGCATCCACAGAAGATGACTTCACATCATTCCTCAAGTCAGTGAGTGCCACCTAGTGCCACAACTGACCAAGAGCTTCCGAAACAGCTCTCCCTCCTGTTTGCACCAAGTATTTAGCATCTGAACCCACCAACACTACTAAGTACAATATTGCAGAGAATGGAGCACAGTGCATCAAGTTTTTCGAAGAACTATGACACCTTGGATGGTATACATTCCTCTACAATTTCCAATGTTTTAAGATATGTTACTTAAAAAAAAAATCCAAAAGGAATTTGCTGTGAATATTGATCCAGTATGCTCTTCAATTTTTTTTTAATTTAACTGTTTAGTTCTACACTACAAATGATATTCTTTTTTATTTCAAAATGTTTAATGGAATGAAACTAAGTTGTTGTATGATAAAAAAGTGGCCTATCTGTGTGACATTCTTATTCCTTAAAGCCATACCTATGTGAGGATTGAGAGCCGTCACCAACATTAGAGATTCGCTCATGAGCTTGTTGATTCTTTCTGTGTTGGCCTGGATCCCCAGCACGCAGTTGTCTGTGAAGGAAACGGCAGCATCGCCCAGCAGCCTGGCTGAGTGCAACACGTTTTTAATCTATCAGAGGAAGAGAAAGAAAGAGAAACATCAATGAACCTCAATATTTTCTTTGTGCCCAATGACATATTACTTCCAAGTTCAATAGTAATTCTATTACCACCGAAACCTAGAAAGTGATAAAATAGGGACAAAGTATCTTCCATGCAGGAGGAAGAGCAAAGGTACAGAGGCTATGAAGCTCAGTGTGTGCTATAGACAATTGTTATGGCTTCCCAGTTCTGAATGACTACCAAGATTTTTGTGCTTAACAAAACAAATACCCTGGCACTTGAGTGCTTGGTCTTGCTGCCCACTGTCAGTTGAAGGGTGGACTGATGCTTTCTATTCACTCCACTTCAATAACATCTACTTTTGCTCGGTGTCAGTGGCTCATGCCTATGATACTAGCTACTCCAAAGGTTCTAAGCAGAAGAATGGAGGTTGGAGGCCAGGAAAGTTCACAAGACCCTATCTAAAACACAACCAGTAAAACACAGGGCTGGAGATATGCGGCTCAAGTTGTAGAGCAGTCGCCTAGCAAGCAAACAAACTAAATAAGACTATGACAACCTGAGTTCACATTCTAAAATGATCACTAACCCTCCAAAAGAAGGAAAGAAAAGAAGGGAAAACGAAAAGAAAAGAAACCTGGCTTTTGATGGAATAAATCTGCTGTTGTTAAATTCCCCAAAGCCGGGAGCCAGGTGTGGAGGCTACTTGCAACCCCAGCTGCTCAAGAGGCAGGACTGTGATTCAAGGTCAGAAAGGGCCAAAAGTAAGTAAGATCTTCTGCTTCTTCACATAAAAGCCGAGTGTACTGGTGTACTTCTGCAACCTAGCTATGAGGGAGGTAGAGGTAGGCTTGGCTGGAGGCTTACCTCAAGTGGTAGAGCATCTGCCTAGCAAGCACAAGGTCAGAGTTCAAAAGAAAAATCACAAAATAAAAAATATACATACCAATATTCCTTCATCATCACTTTAAGATAACTTTTCACATAATGTCTAAATGAAATCGATTGGTATGTGGTGGCATTTTTTTCTTGGTAACATTTCCCTTATATACTAAGATATGTTGACATCTATCCTTTGACATAAAACTCCTCAATGTGGGAACTACACTTCCAACAAAGGATTCAAATGGAAGACATTGGACTTTAAGGCTTAAGTTAAAACTAATGACTTCATTGTAAGGCAAAGGTTGATTATTTTCTAGTAAAGCTAACTTGCTCTCTTCCTGGTCCCTCTTAGGCTGTACTTGACTGATTCTGATTCTCCCACATAGCTTATTAATATTATATGCCATCACACTGCTCTTTTTCCTTCATCCTGACAAAGATGGCACAAGATAGATAACATCTTCTTTCATCGGCAATCAGTAAGAATTGTATCTACAGATATCAGGCTTCTAGTGTTAAGTTGTGAATATGACCTAGAAGTTTCTGAACTCTGTTTTGGTCTATCTTTTTTATCTGTCACTAGAACATACTTTCCATGAAGCAAAGAAAAAAAAATATGTCTTATAAACTGTAGTGAACACCCATACGGTATTATATAGAGCAATAGTCAATAAATATTCAGTGAATTCACTCCATAGACTTCATATATGTCACCTTCATATTTCTATTAGATTAAAATCAGATTTTATGCCGCATATCAACAAGCAGTAAACCTCTTGTATATTTTAGACAGAGCATTTTACACAAATGAAAGAAGAAATGATAACACAGCTTCATTATCTCAAGTAAGGGAAACTGAATGAAAGACGATACCAACTTGCTCCATCTTTGCAAAGAGAGAAAAGGAACAGTGTAGGTGGAACCAGTTTTCCAAAGCAAGCAGAAGAGAACAGGCGTGCGAGGGAGGATGGGAGGGACAGGGAGAGAAGCAGGGGTGAAGTGTTAAAGAAAGGTGAACAATGTCGCAATGAGAGAAAGTCAGTATCAGATGTCCTAAAGGAAGAATGCCAGACGTCATACACGTGGGCTGAAGAGTTTATGGAAGACGAAGACATATGTAAGCACAGGCACAAGGGCTGAGGTGAGACTATTGCCAACACAGTAAAACAATGGTTTAGCTGTCTTTGGTTATGAAGGCAGGCTTGCTGGGCACCAGATGACTTTGACAGCACCAAAGCAAAGCTGACAAGGAATAATTTGCAGTGGGCTACAGGACTGGGGATTTCCAGCTACACACTAATGTCAACAATAGGACAGAATTTGGAGGATCAATTTATCAAAAAGTATGTGAAGATTTTGACACTTCAGTAACCTTGCTTGGAATCAGGTACCAACTGCACTCATTTTGGCACTGCAGCTAATTATCAGTTAGATTTTACTACTTCCATTTCTGCAAAAGTTAACAACTGTAGTTTAACTGGAGTGGGCTATCCTCAGACTCTGAGGCCTGGTGTGACGCTTACACTGTCTGCTCTGGTAGATGGGAAGAGCATTGATGTTGGAGGCCATAAACTTGGGCTTGCCCTGGAATTGGAGGCTTAATCCAAAGAAACCTCTGGAAATGCACATCAGATGATTTGGCCATAATATGTTTCCAGTGTGACCAGCAGGCTTTTTTCTTCCCCAAGAAGGCAACCAAAACAAAGGCCAGTCTAAACAAGAACTGTATTTTAAATATTAGACAGTTACTTGTTAACTGGTTTCTAGCTCAATTGGTTATCGAGTTATCAATGCACAGTCATGCAGTCATATATACATTATTTAAATGTATTTAACTGTTAAATGCACTGTGTGCACGTTTGTTTTTATGTTCTTTTAACACTATGGTAATTGAATAAAATAGACTAGTGGATGTTTAAAAATGACGTTAAATATCTTTTTGTTAAACTTAGCCATCATTAGAATTACTTTTATTATCCAACAATATTACAAATTATGAATAGAACAAATATACATTAAAAAAGGCGGGGAACAGGGCCAATTTTTTTCATCTGAACTAGGGGAAAGCAGGGGACAGGGCTTCAGGGGAAACTTGCTTTTTTAATGTATGTTAAATATTTAACAAATTTATTAAACATCAATAACACTACAAAGTAATACTGAGTTCAAAATTTGATTTCCAGTCTCAATTGATCATAGTTCTAGTTTCTGCGTGAGCAGCAGATGGTGGTGGCCTGGGAAGCGTAGGTTACAATGGTAAGCCCATGGGCCTCACTGGAGCTGTAGCCCTGCTCAGTAGAAGCCACAGTCAGTGACACGGAGGCCCAGAGGAAACTTGAGGATAAAGTCCAGTTAGAATCTCAGCTTTACCCAATGTGGTCGGAATGACTGGGGGAGCTGGCCCTCAGCCCTGCAGGGGAATGTCCTGAGGGTGGTTGGGGAAACAAGAAGTGTCGGTGGACAGCTCTACTGGGACAGCCTCATCTGTGTTCGGGGTGGGCTGAGAGTTCCTGAGGGGAACGACAACTTCCTGTGGCATCACAGGGTAGGAGGTCCACTTCAGTAGTCAGTGGGGGCAGACTGTCAGTATGAGAGAGCATTAAGTAACCCCGAAGATTAGTTCCCAGGAGGAAAAAAGTACCCTTGGGACAATCCAGCCAAGAACTGTGCTTAGGTCTTGAGGTCAAGGTCAGAGGACAGAAACATTTGGCACTATAATCAATATCTGTGCTCAGAGTAAGGCCCATTTACTGATGAAACTTTTGTTGTTGTTTTGTTTTTAGTTTTTATCTGAGGAGGTCTGAACCTATTTCTGGTTACTGGCATCCTCAGCAGTAAGGGACAAAGAAAAAACTTATATATCCTACTTCCACAACTGAAGGGGAATTTGTCCAATTTGAAAATAAAAGTCAACATGTCACCTAAACTATAAAAGCTATCTTTCATGGCATAGTCCTACTATTAAGGTTGTTCCTCTAGCATTAGTAAGTGACTGACTTATTGCTATTTATCTATCCAACTACCTGTAACTGGGCTCTTCTAAAAAACTTTAAAGGAGAAACAAAAGACATATCGATGAGCCTTCAGTCAAAAACTATTAAAAATCACACTTGAAGCTTACCATCATGGGCTTGAAAACATTCAACTCAAAATGCCCATTGCTGCCTCCAACGGTGACGGCAACATGGTTCCCCATAACCTGGGCCGCAACCATGGTCATGGCTTCGCACTGAGTTGGATTCACCTTGCCTTTAAGGAAACCACAGAGATAGCATCTCATCAAATACGCCCTTGAGATTATGTATTCAGTCAAATAACAAACGAAGAGCATCTACTATCATTAAATAAAGGAAGACATAAAATAAAGCACAGCCAAGCATAATGAAACAAATCCAAGGAAAGGGGAAGAGTAGCCATGAACGGAATCATTCAATAGCTAATGACAAGCCTTATACACAAGTATTACATACAGTTCTCCACCTTCATGGTTTTCATTCATTTCATAAACATTTATGCAGCCAGAGTACAATAGTAACACCCTAAATTCCCAGAGATCAGCAGCTAGGAAATAAGCTGGCAACTGAATAGATAAGGAGTAAATAACGGAAGGACCAACTGCTATGGGAACACTTTCGAGGGACATCTCACCAATGCCTGAGAAGCTTCCTGTTGAGGTGGAACTCTCCCTTCACCACACGAGTCTACAACTCTACCACCCCAGCAACACTCTGGCAAGCTCATATTTGAACTGAACAGCAGATTCCTCTGACAAGTGTAAGGTCACACTGGAAAGATGACTTCCTTGTTTTTTGGGCATTTTTTAGTGGTTCTCCATTCCTCTTTGGCAGGCAACTTTGGATTTGCAAGCAAGTAAACCCATGTGCCAATTTTCATCAAGAAGTACTTACAAGCAAGCTCTATTTTTGTTCTATATCTGTACAATGAATTTTTTTTGGTAAATTCTTTTTTCTCACTGTCAAACTACTTTGTTGGTTTGAATCCAGCAGATTGGCCTATAAGAGATCTTTGGTGTGGCTCCATCATCTGATATATTGATAGCTCCACTTTGTTACCTGATATCAAGGTAAGTTCATAGTCTCTGTCTTCATCTTCAGTTACCATACAGTGTTAAATAAGTAGGGCCTTTTAGCTTGCTACATCCATGATAAAGTCACCTATTAGTCATTAAATGCCACTGCTCACCATTCATCTGCCCATACTATGCCATTAGATACAGTGATTATCAAATGACCTGCTGCAATGCGAACTCCAGTGTCCCTCAACTAACAGCTCTAGAGCCCGTTGGTGACCATGAAACACGTAGAGTCTGTTACGACCTGTTTTTTTTTCAACCCCTGCTGATCACTTTAACAGCCTATTCTAGAATTCTCTTGGCAATGGACTGTGAAGAACAGAACTATGAACACTTTCATTACATTTCATTACCTTAGTAGGAATCAAAATACATGCTATGAATTCAGATTCTTTTCCCTCACTCGTCAGGTGATGTTTCTAAACTCCTGATACACAATGGCCAACATAGAAATAGTGAGCAAGTATGCCTCCTATGGGCACAAGTGATTTTAAGACTAAGAAAATAAAATGCCTGAGGTCAAGTTCGCGTCCCGATGTTTACTAGTTAGATGATTACCTGGCATAATGCTGCTTCCTGGTTCATTTTCAGGCAGGATCAGTTCTCCCAGCCCCGACCGGGGACCAGAGCCCAGAAAACGAATGTCATTCGCTATCTTCATCAGACTGCAGGCTGTAGTGTTCATGGCTCCGCTGAGTTCCACCAGAGCATCATGAGCAGCCAGAGCTTCAAATTTATTTGGAGCAGTGACAAAAGGCAAGCCTGAAGAGAAGAAAAATATAATTAAACATGCCTATTTTCAGAAGGTTAAATAGCTCTAGTATTAGCTTCAGTAGCGAGTTAAGTTAAACAGTTCCAGTAGAACAGTTAAACGGTTCCAGTACAGGGAAAATAGAGAGGGCTGAGGGCTGAGGGCTCAGGGGTAGACCCTTGCCTAGTACGTGCAAGGTCCCACATGTGATTCTTAAGTATACAAACACCCCACCGGCCCCCAACCCCCCCACACACATACAGTAAACTTCAGACCAAAAAATGCTTATTTTAAGGCTCACACTTTGTCGGCTTTTCTTTAAGAAGTCCCAAAGGACTACAAACTATCTGGTTGAAAAGATTAAATAACAAATACATTATACAAATTGGAAGCAAAACTACCATCCTATTCAAGCAGATGTGAAGACTGTATATAATTCACTCTGCTTTAGTCCACAACTCTATCCTGTACACGTGGGATTTGTTTTGAATTTCTCTGTCCACTTCATTCTACTCCATTCTTTTCTATAGCCAGGAATCACCAAATCCTGAGTGACTAAGGACCTAACATGACCTAGAATGTTACTCTCCCATGTCTAAAAAATTTTAAACCTTCATAATTTAAACCCTAAGACATAATCTTTTCCCAATAAAAAGTGATTTTAAAAATCATCTAGGAGGCTGTAATATATATTGCATAATGACCTGACTCTAATGACAAGATTTAAAAAGTTATTAATACAAATACATATCACAGCATGACACTGGAGGAAAAATGAAGCCATTCTACAACATAACATTCAATAACTTTCTCAGTAGTCTGCTGTCTCTATTTACTTTGAAAATTATACTTCAAAACAGCTTTATAGAAAAATAACTGACTACTACCCCACAGACAACAAAGCTAACACTGATAAATGTTATGTGCCTACTGCATGAATTCCTGTTAGGGCAACCTTTAGAAAGTAAAAGGATCAACTTCAACATGGGCTTATTTCTGAACTGCAGAATTGAAGGCAGAAACATCCAGAAAATCTATAGAGGAATGTCCTGAAAATGAGCAGGAACTCAATCAAGATCACTAACCTGTGAGTGCAGCCACTTTCGCAGCAACCTTCTCCGCAAAGCCAATTCTAGTATTTAAACCAGTACCTACAGCAGTGCCCCCAGCTGCCAGCTCATAGATCCTTGGCATGGCAGCTTTAATTCTCGCCATTGCATACTGCACTTGTTGAACATACCCACTGAATTCCTGACAAGAGAAGAAAATTGAAGGGAGAATAAATCTCCTAATGCCTTACCAGGTACTCTAGTGGCATTAAACAGAAATTTAAGAATACACATTTCAAGCCAGGCATCAGTGGCTCCTGCTCCTACCTATAATCTAGCTATTCAGGAGGCTGAGATCTGAGGACGGAGGTTGCAAGCCAGCCCAGGCAGGAAAATCCGTGAGACTTGTATTTCTAATTAGCCATTAAAAAGCCAGAAGTAGAGCTGTGGTAGAATACTAGCCCTGAGCGCTAAGGGACAGTGCCTAGCTTCTGAGTTTAAGACATAGGCTCAACATACACACACACACACACACACACACACACCCATAGCACCCTTATACACACAGTTTAGATACTAAATTATAAGTTACTCAAGTAGAATATGTCAGTCTATGTGATGAGCAAATACAGGGAAGGATGAAGATTTATAAACCTAAAGGTAGACAATATAACTAAAAATATGTTGTCTGTTTATAATTTAATCAGAAAGCAAAAGAAAAACGTAACATATAAACTTGATGAAAGAATGATTTCACTCTATTCAAATATTGTTTTATTTGCAATCTACTAAATCAACTGAAGTGATTTTCCTTTTGTATTTGATATATCCAGGTAACTTTGAAAAAGAAAAATACGGAATATTCTCCAAAGAAAATGCAAACATAGGGCTGGGAAGGTGGCTCAGTGGTAGAGCGCTTGTCTTGCATGCCCTGGGTTCGATTCCTCAGCACCACATAAGCAAAAAGAAAAAAGCTGGAAGTGGCGCTGTGGCTCAAGTGGTAGAGCGCTAGCCTTGAGCTGAAGGACAGCGCCCAGGCCCAGAGTTCAGGCCCCATGACCGGAGCCAAAAAAAAAAAAAAAAAGAAAATGCAAACATAGAAGCGTTATCCAGACAATTTCACTTTCACACTAGAGAGGAGATGTGAGGAGACTCCAGGGACATGAAAAGCTAAATGACTCACTTGATAGTTCAAGAAATCACAGTGGAATGAATAGGTCTAGAGCTTTTCAATTCTGCTATAATGACACTGCTTCCCAAACTATGACATGGTAAATTAAATACAACACACAATTTATGTTTTCAAGCAAAGGCCCTTGTTAATAATTATGCAGGGGCAAAAGGCATAAACTGGCATGACTTAAAGGCAAAACTTAACTGTAACCAAAGGTATTATTACACAACATTTTTGCCCTGCTTAAAAATGCTGAAAAACTATAAATACTTTTGATTAATATTAGTATTTCACTGTTCTTAAGAAAACATTTCAAAAGTTCTCCTTGCAGAAAGAGTGAATCATTTGGCCTACTATCATTCCTACACACCAACTTCATCTACTTGTCTTACAGAATATATTTTGCCAGTCAAAATATATTTGCAATAAAATCAAGCATAAATGCTTCTGATAAAATAAAGCCAAACAGAAGATTCTGTCTTAATAGGCAGAATGATGATTTTACTGGCAAAGTAAGACCTAGATCAAATGAATGCTAACACTGTGTTTTCCAATAAGAACTAGAAACCAGAGGGAACAATAGTTGCAAATACATAGACTGTTTCTTCCTCAAAATTATTAACAGTACTAAGAGCCAGTGATGCAGAGAACTCATACAACGTCTTAAGCAGTGAGGTAACCCAGTAAGTCTCACTTAATCTAGCACTTGTATTTTGAGTTTCCCTTTATTCCTTCTATAATTAAATGAAGATAAATGATCAAGTTTTCTTCACTGTGCTATCATCTATACAAATTCACAATTGAGAATCTAGCCAAGTTAAGCAGCAGCCAAATTCTCATCCTCGCCTCATTGTTGTATGAGACTGGGTAACTATCATTTGACACTTAGCATATATATCCATCTCTTGATTTGTATAATCCCACTTCCCAAGCTGGTATGTGAGCTGAAAGAAAGTTGATTCATTTTTATATTTTTTCCCTTTGCAATATAGACTGTTAAATCTTAAGATGTTGATAAAGAAATATAGAAGTACTTTCTGGAGCTGGGCACAATGGGTCAGACTCTAATCCTACCTGAGATTGAGCAGGATTGAAATTTGAGGCCAGCCTATGCAGAAAGTTTACAAGACTCCATCTCAATCAATAAAAACGTAAACAAAAAAATTAAAAACCAGGTATGGTAGTGGTGTCTATCATCCCAGATACTTAAGAAGTATAAAGAGAAAAAAACACAATCCAGATCCCAATAGGCAAAAAATGATATCCAATTCAAAAAATAATAAAATCAAAAATGACTGTGGGCATGGCTCAAGCTGTATAGCAAGCACAAAGCCTTCTAACAAAACCCTAGTACCATCAAAAATAAAAAATCCTGAACGTTTCTGGAATCTTGGAGAACAATATTTCTTTCACATGAGTAATATCAATTATTACTTCAGAATAATAGCAATTATTTAGAGAGTAAATGGCCAAAATAATTATACAAAATAAAATCTATCTTGTTTAATTACTTTAAAGGTAAATATAATTAAATAACCTAATTTAAGAGAGACAAATAAAGAAATCATTGCTGAAGATGATTATGAGAGCTAATGCTAATAAGTACTTCCTATGACCAAGCATGGTGCAAAGGATGGTACATGAATCCGTTTATTAGGATTTCACAGATATTCTACAAAAGAGAAGGTATTTTCCTTATATTACAGCTCAGGAAAGTGAGGCACACAAACATCACATCATTTTCCCTAAGGTTACATAGCTTGTATATAGCAAAGCGAAGACTTGAACCTGTACAGCCTAGCAGAGTCTGACCCCACTGTCTGTACCCACAGAATGTCAGGACACACTGTTTCTGTCTTAAGTAAATGTCATTAATAAATGAAACACAACTGGCTGGTTAATAAAGAACTATATCTGTCACTGAACTTACTGTTATAAACTTGACATTTTTCAAGCAATACTGATGATTTATATATACTGATAAATTGAACAAAATTAGCCCAACTCCTATACCTGCCCTAGAGTCAGTGGAACAGCATCCTGAGTGTGAGTACGCCCAATTTTGATGATCTCTGCAAACTCTTTGGACTTTGCACTAAGAGCATCATGGAGCTTCTGCAGTCCTGGTAACAGCACTTCATGAACTTCTACTGCAGCAGCAATGTGCATTGCTGTGGGGAAAGTGTCATTGGAGCTCTGTGGAAAAATTTTCAAAAGTGTCCAATATTAAACCAAACTCAGTGGGTTACTTAAGGGCAAATAAAAAGCAACCAGGTTTCCTATATAGAATGCACTCGGACTCTATTAGATATCCTGAATATATTTCATTTATAACCAAGTATTATGCATGCAATACCCATTACATCTGCTTGCTAATAAACAACAACAAAGCATAAAAGTACAGAACTGAACAATCACATTTAAAGGTAGCAATAACATTTTACATTCAATCTCTCATAAGATAAATTTCATAAACTTATTACATCTCAATAATATTATCAAGGAACATTATCATTTTCTTTTTTTTTTTTGGGTCCAGTCATGGGGCCTGAACTCTGGGCCTGGGCGCTGTCCCTCAGCTCTTCAGCTCAAGGCTAGAGCTCTACCACTTGAGCCACAGCGCCACTTCCAGCTTTTTTCTTTTTGCTTATGTGGTGCTGAGGAATCGAGGCCTTAAGCATGCAAGGCAAGCGCTCTACTGCTGAGCCACCTTCCCAGCCCCCAACATTATCATTTTCACACGTAGAAAGCACGCTCTGAAAAGGATGACTTCCCGCAGTATTTAGGATTGTTGGTGTGTGTGTGTGTGTGTGTTTAAGCCATGGCCAAGCAGTGTAGACACTGTGCTCTCTCTGTAACTCCTAACCCTGTAATTTTAAACTATGATGGCATTTTTAAATGCATTTATTCTTTACATACTTGTTATAGAAAATATCAGACCACTTACAAAAGAGGGAAGAACAGAACACTGAACACACATGTACTAATTACCTAAACTCAACAATCAATGTGCATTCAATGCATAGAGCCTCATGGCATCTATAGCTTCACCCTTTTCCCTCATCCTACTATATACAATGCATTATCCTGAGTTACTAAAGAATATGTACTAAAGGATATGCAAAAAATAAATTCATAAATTAAAGGGAGGTACTAGATTTTAAAATATGTGATGAACTTTCCTTTTACTATTTTTTTTAAATTTTCAACTCTCATGAAAGCTTTTATTCTGACAATGAGAGACTAAAAAGCATGCAGCAGCCACAGGAAGAAAATCCTGCTATGTAGAGAAGAGGAAAACATTTATGCTACCAATAAGAACGAATCCCTTGTTAAACTTATCTGGCAGCACCTGATTCTTCCCTGTGCACTGTCCTTTGACATTCCCTCCTTGCCTTCTGAAAGGTCTTTCTCATTTGTTGTCTTTTATAGCCCTCTCTGAGGCATACTGGACACCATGCACACCACCTTGCATGTGCATGAATGTTACAGTTCATTCCAAATTTTGTAGATCAGAGGTGTGCAAGTTGCTTTAAGGGTTAAACAACCCAGGCTTTGGTCAGTCATGTAATTTGTTCAGCAAAACACACACACACACACACACACACACACACACACACACACACACCAATCAGAGGTATGCAAGTTGCTTTAAGGGTTAAACAACCCAGGCTTTGGTCAGTCATGTAATTTGTTCAGCAAAACACACACACACACACACACACACACACACACACACACACACACACACACACACACACACACACCAACAACAATCCTGCAAAACCTCTGTGTGCTTCTGGTTGGTTTCATGAGTAAATTAACCAAAACCTTATGTAATGAGGTCTTTTCACTTTTGTGGTACTCTTCCCAAAAATGTAAACCCTCAATCTAATCAGAAGAAAAGGACAGGGACACCACATCTGAGGGACATTCTACAAAACACAAGACTAAAGGGCTAAAGGTCCTGGCAAAGAGCAATTTGCTATGGAGTCTCAAGAGACAGAGACAAAAGGCCAAGAAACCATGACACACTAGAAATTCTGCACTTCTGTAACATCGCTTTTTCCAACCACAGCTACTTTAAAAAATGACATATTTAAATTTAACCAGCATGACAATTTACTAGTTTCACATGAAAATTCAGTGACTAAATTAATGTGTAGCTTAGCCTGAGTCCTGGAGGAATAAAGGGGCATCAGTGAAAAACAGGAAATTCTAAAACATTCTGTTGCTTGTTTAACAGTATTGTGCCCTTGTTAATTAACATTAAGGAAGCTGGTGAAATCTAAACTATCTTTGCAATTTTTTATTATGTATTATTTTGGAAGAAACTCTTTAAATGAAACAATAAAAATATGCATGTATACTAAATTTATGTCTTTTAAATATCTTTATATCCTTTTGCAAAAATATCTTTATATCCTTTGCAAAAACACATTAGCTAAAGAACTCTCCTTGATAAAAAGTGTGGGCTTGTCACATATGAACAACTCAGGTAATGTGTATGTAAAGCAAGGAGGAGAGAACATATACCTACCTGGCTTTTATTTACGTGATCATTGGGATGCACAGGGTCCTTGCTGCCAAGTTTACCTCCCAACATTTCTATTGCTCTATTGCTAATGACCTCATTTACATTCATGTTTGTCTGGGTTCCTGATCCAGTCTGCCACACCACAAGAGGAAAATGATCATTTAATTTACCTTCGGCTACCTGCAGAAAAAAAAAAAAACAACAGTAAAAATGAGCATTTTTGAAACAAGACATACTCAATAGTCCATTTACCTACTTTAGTAACTGTGATTAAGTTAAGCTTACTCACAGATTTAAAAGGCTTCTTTTCATATACTAACTGACTTGCTAGTGGGTTCAAGAGTTAAATGCCACAGTTCAACAAGTCTAACTGCTGCTTCATGTTTCCCAACCTGGACACTTTACAGCATGACATATTATCTAGTTAAATGGCATGATCGTCACTGGCTTTAATAAAAATATAGGCAAAACCATTGTTCTTATTTTTCTCAATCGCTTTCTCTAAATAGAATGCTACCTATTAAGACTGGAAAATATCTTAAGTTCTCAGATATATGTATTGCTGGTGCTCACCTGAAATATCCAACAGATGTTCCCATCACTGTCAGCATGAAAATGAATGGGGGACTTAAAAATGTGAGTTCGTGAATAGCTCCTTCACTGCATAGATGCCCAATGGGTAACAATTGCCAAATATGGGAACAAGCACTGGCTGCCTAGGCTTGCCACTCACTTTGTTATGTTTGTATACACTCAGTTCATGAATTATTAGTTTGTGGCTATAAACTTTCTAAAAGAGTTCTTAATTTCATTTTTATAGTGATTTTAGACTAAAAAGTCAGAATGCACTTGAGAAATCTATTACATTGGTTCCTTTTAAAATGATTTTTAAAAAATTTTTCTAATATGTATTGTAAATTGGTGAAGTTATATCCTTCACATAATTACCAAATCATCAACTAGTTTTAGAAGGAATCATTTATTCATAAGAAATCCATTTTAAAGTTCAAATAGTGTCTTCAAAAAACTTTCCTAGATCAATATATTAACAAGAAAATTCAAGAAGCTCAAACAGATATAAAATAATTCAGAATTTCTGTTATAATGTCAACATATTAATATCCTCACAAAAGCACTAATATTGCCATCCTACCTTGAAATTCATTAAGCCAAGAATCATAGAGCCTCTTTCCTCCTAACAGCTTATTACCACCCTGTGGAAGACAGGGGGCTAAGGGCATTAAGTAAACACATTTATCATTTCTTACCTCATCTGCTGCCTTCATTATTGCATTAGCAAGCTTGGGATCAAGACCATAATCCTGGTTTACTTCAGCCGCTGCTCGTTTCAGGATACCAAAAGCTTTAATGACTGGGATCTAAAATTAATCAGAAAATAACTCAAATTTGCAATTTTAACTAAGTACGAAAGTTTATTATTTTATCTAGATATAAAAATCCAAAACAGTAACTTAATTATCATTATAGCATTTGAATGTTTTAGGTATGTAATAAATCAAGAGAACCAAACAAAAATAAATATACCGTGTCTTTATATATATATATATATATACATATATATATATATATATGTATATGCTTATGTCTAAAACAGGTATACATGTACATAATTATATATTCACATATATTCAAAGCAATAGTCGTGGTACTTTTTAGGTATACATACTGTAAAGTATTATTTTATACAGTATATATTAATAACCAGCTGCAACAATCATTTACCAGGAAGAAACACTACATTTCTTCACTGAATCACATGCTGCATTATAATATTGTCCTTCTCTTAAATAAAAACAATAAAAACAACAACCAGGTATGGTAGTGCACACTTATCCCAGTGTGAAGTAAGGGGATTGTGGGCTCCAGAAATGCTGTCTCAAAAAAACAACAAAAAATAAATGACAAATTTAACTTCTAATTACTTGTGAGATAAGTAGTGTTGGGAATGGATACCATTTTACCCTAAAGTAAAAAAGCAATAATTCTAGTTAGTAAAGATTTGAGAGTAAACTTCTATGAGTACTCTTTGTTTTTGTCACTATCAGTATATGAACTCAGGGTCTCACATTTGCTTAGCTTGCTTGCAGGGCTGATGCTCTACCATGTGAGCTACATATCCAGCCTGACTTTTTAGTAGCTATTTTGGAGACGATGTCTTCTGAGTAGCTGGGATTACAAGTATGAAAACTTTTAATAAGTTGATAACTAATACATGATACAGGACCATATTTTCATTTGTTAATATTCCAATCTTCATTTTCTGATCCAAATTACTTCACCAAACTTTAAGGGATAAATCAAAAAACTTCTGATGAGATTTCAATGAAATAATCAAACTTTTTTTTTGTCAGGACAATTCCTGTCCATGTGTTCATGTACAAATTAATAATAACAATTATGGCACAGATTCCAAACCATATTTGAATGAACAAAAAGCCAAGGGAGCTGGGAGCCAGTGTCTCATGCCTGTAATCCTAGGTACTCAAGAGGCTGAGAGCTGAAGATTGAGGGTCAAAGCCGGCCCAGTCAGGAAAGTCCTTGATACTCTTATCTCCAATCAACTAGCAGAAAACTGGAAGTGGTCCTGCGGCTCAAGTGGTAGAGCGCTTGACTTGAGCTGAAAAGCTCAGCGACAGTGCTCAGGCCAAGTTCAAACCCCACAATTGACCCCCACCCAAAAAAAAAGGAAAAATTAAAAAGCCAGGTGTCAGTGGCTCATGCCTATAATCCTAGCTATTCAAGAGACTAAGATCTGACAATTGAGATTCAAAGCCAGCTCTAGCAGGAAAATTCATGAGATTCTCTTCTATTAATTAACCACCAAAAAGCCAGAAGTGGAGCTGTGGCTTAAGTGTTAGAGCACTAACCTTGAGCAAAAAAAGCTCAGGGAGGGGCTAGGAAGATGGATTAGTGGTAGAGCGCTTGCCTTGCATGCCTGAGGCCCTGGGTTCGATTCCTCAGCACCACATAAGTTAAAAGAAAAAAGCCGGAAGTGGCACTGTGGCTCAAGTGGTAGAACGCTAGCCTTGAGCTGAAGAGCTAAGGGACAGCGCCCAGACCCAGAGTTCAGGCCCCACAACCAGACCCAAAAAAAAAAAAAAAAAAAAAGCTCAGGGACAATGTCCACATCCTAAATTCAAGCCCCAGGACTTGGGGGGGCAGGGGGGTGCAGGGCAGGAGAAAGCCAAGGGAAAAGAGGAAGAAAAACAATGAATTCATAAAACAGTTACAATCCTTGGAGGAAAATCAAAATAGGTAAAATAGAGAAAAGAATTAAAAAAATATGACATATGTATAAAGCTGACCACAATAAGTATAAGTTGAAAGGCAAAAAAGGAACAAAGGGAAATAGACAGTTTATTCTGAATTTTAAGCAAATAAATTTTTTAATGTTTTAATACATTAAATGGAGGCAAATGGTTCACAGGATAGAAATTTAAGTTAAAATATAAAAACAAATAGGAATTTAAATTCCTATAGAAACAAATATTATGATAATGGGTTAGACCACCACCAAAGCCATAATCAATGTCAATCAAAACTGAGCTGGGCATTGGGGCTCATGTCTGTAATCCTAGACTCTAAGAATACTGAGATATGGAGTTTTAAGGTTCAAAGACAGCGTAGGCAGAAAAATCCACCTTCAATTAGACAGCAAAAAAGGCTAGATGCATGGCTCAAGCAGTAGACCACCATACCTAAGCAAGCAAGCCAAGTAGGCATGAAGACTTTTAAGCCCCCAAACAGTTCCCCCTAAAAAAAAAAAAAATACCCTGCTGCTGTCTACCTGAACGGAATGACTGACCCTAGTGATATGGACCCATAAAAACGGAAAAGGGGCTGGGCACCGGTGGCTCAGCCTGTAATCCTAGCTACTCAGGAGGCTGAGATGTGAGGATCACAGTTCAAAGCCAGCCCAGGCAGGAAAGTCCATGAGACTCTTATCTCCAATAAACCACTAGAAAACCAGAAGTGGCACTGTGGCTCAAGTGGTAGAGCGCTTGCCTTGAGGTGAAGAGCACAAGGACAGCGCCCAGGCCCAGAGTTCAAGCCCCATGACCGACAAAAAAAAAAAAAAAGGAAAAGGATCACAAAATATACTTTTAATAAACATCACTAAAATAAGGGAGCACAAAAGATCACTAGGGAGAAGGAAAGGATTATGACATTCTTCATTTTATTCATGAGTGAAAACGTGTTCTTTAATTCATATTAGATATTCACAATCTCATCACCTGTGGTAATATATTGGTATTGTTTTCCTTTGGCCTTCAGATACAAAGGGTTAAGATTAATCATGGGAGAGTTCAGAGTCCACGCAAGCTATTTGACATTAGTAAAGCTCAGGAAATGAATATAGATGAAGCTAAATGTAACTAAGTTGATACTCCTAGTGTCCTTCCTACCTTTCACAGATGTGTGATCAGAAGCCTGCCCTGTCTCTGAAACAGTAGCAGCCATCAACCACACACCCTCAGCACCACACATTTGCTGACAAGACAATCAAAACATGAGCCACATTTACTTTTTCAATGTCTGCTGGGGCTGACTAACCTCCTAAATCCCAAGAGAATATTTTGGACACTCTTTGCTACCCAAACACATAGTCAGACCGTCTGCATACCTCATCCTCAAGCATGCTATACACAGCAATGACAAAGAGATGTTTTTCTATGATTTAGCTGTTTGTCATAAAATTCTGTAAAGCAGTCAGAATTCAGCCTTTAAAGGCTTACAAATGAGCTAAAATATGGAAGTTAAAATTATTCAGAGTAAAAAAGTATATTGGGAAGATGACTAGTAAACAATACCTCACCACATAAAGTCTGGCTACTTCTAGACTTACTAGCCTCTCCTGCATGCCTACATGACTATTTTGCACAGCAAGGCTGAGCTCCTTCTGGAGCATCCCTTCACATCTCAACATCTCTGAAAGCAGGATACATTTTACAATCAATCAATGACACAGCTCAACTGCAGCCTCTTCTCTGTCAGTACATATTTTTCCATCTTGTAGCTAATGGCATCTTACATTTAACACAATGTGTCAGTAAGTTTTCTAGTTATAAACAGAATTAACATTTAACTATTATTATATGCCAGACACAGTGAAGAATAATGCTCTGATGTATTTGTGTATACTTTTCTGGAAACTAAAACCAAGACAGCAAATATAACAATTACAGAAGAACCTTAAATTTTAAATGTTATCTTTAAAAAAGGAAAACAAAAAATCTGAATATTGACATAAAATCTTTTCAAACTGTGAAATCTTAGTAAAACTCCCATTAAGAATAAGAAAATGATCATTGGGATCTACCAAAAAATTGACAATATTCAAAGCCACAGTTCATAAGCAAACAAACTAAAACTTTGACATTTTAATAAGAGGACAATCTACTACTCACAAGCCAGTTTTCTAATAATTTTGTAATTCAACTCTGCAAAGTTTTATTTCTTTATTTATTTTTCCAGGGCTGAGGACCGAACCCACGGCCTTGCGCGCGCCAGGCGGGCACCCTTCCGCTGGGCTAAACCCCCAGCCCCTGCAAAGTTTTATTTATAAGGTGACTCCTTTATTCAAAAACAAGGCACTGTTTACACCAAAGTCACTTACTGGCATGCGTTCTGTCACACCTCCAATCTTAAAGTTCATTGTCGATCGCACAGTCTGGGCACCGTAATACTTATCATTTGGTACCTTCAGTTCACCAAAGGTATCATATTCTATCCGGAAGGAATTCTGGCTCGCCTACAGACAAGGATAACACACTGTGAGAGTGGGAAAAGAAACCTGGTATCAAAAAAAGGAATGGTAACTTATCAGCTTTATGACACTTTGTGATAGTAACTCACAAATCACTAAATTAGAGTGCATGCATGGGCAATGGAAGATGGGCTGGGACAGTTCTTAGCCTTCTCAAGGTGACCCAAGCTGAGAAAAGCTAGGGATCCCCTCTCTACGCAAAATGAACAGAAACACATCCAATTTAAGTTGTTTAATTTTGAAATTAAACCATTACCCACAAGAAGCTCATGGACCCTAAGTTTTCAGCCAGATCACTTCAACCAATTAAGCTAGACACAGTGACACTCAGGAGGTGTAAATAGGAGATGGCCGGTGGTGGGTGCTCGGGCAGAGGTCGGGGCTTGAACTCAGGGCCTGGGGACTGTCCCTGTGCTTGTTTTGCTCAGGCTAGCACTCTACCACTTGAGCCACAGCACCACTTCCCGCTTTTTCTGTTTATGTGGTGCAGAGCAATGGAACCTAGAGCTTCGAGCATAATAGGCAAGCAAGCTACCACTGAGCCCCATTCTCAGCCCACCAGGAAATCTTAAAGAGAAAAAAAGAAAAGAAACCAAGGCTAAGCATGTGGCCCAAGAGAGAGACACAGACAGGCACAGACAAGAGCATGAAGCTTCATGAATACAGTTCTCCTACAATGAGCGGTTATCTTTCACATGTCTCTCCCCTCTGAAATAGGGAAGCAAAGTACACTGAATGAACACTTACTACATGGTATCCCTCCTGTGCAACTTGCGGAGTAGCTCTAACTAGTTCAGCTTTTACTTAGAGAAACCCGGACGTACAGACCACGTGCCCAAGGCCTCAACATTACTTGAATAGCAGGGCAGGATTTGAACTCACATCATCTGACTGCAAACCACCTGTTCCACTTGGATCGCCAGTGAGGAACTGCGCTCTCCCTGAAGTATTATTAAGTCCTCAAACTTCCTTAGCGCCACCCACACACAGGTAATTCTTTACCAACCCTGGGCTGCCGCGGGCAACGCTCTGAAGCCATCCACAGGGCTGAACAAGGGGATCAGGCAGACCTTGGAACCGGCCTTGCGCCTTCTTCAGCTGTCTTTCTGAATTAAAGTCCTGACTCAGCCAGTTCGGTCCTCCCCAGTGCCAAGCACCCCGCAGAACACCACCCCGTGTTGATGGATCCCTCTACCCGCCATCTCGAGGGCCGGAACGCAGTTCAGTCCGAGCCTGGTGGGGCACCCTGATCTGGAGGGCACCCCGCCCGGCCCGCCCGGCCCGCCCGGCCCCGCAGGCGGCCAGCGCCCCAGCGGGCCGGGCAGGGGCGCAGCGGGACCGCAGCCGGGGCGTCCCACCCGTCCTGGCCGGTGGTGGGCGCTCGGGCACAGGTCGGCAGCGCCGGCAGCTCCCCAGGCAGCCGGCGCGGGCGCCGAGCCCAGAGCCCGGCTCGGCGGGGACGCGCGGGGCGCCCTCGGCCGGCTCGCGGGCCTCCAGGCCGGGCCGAGCCGAGGAGGGCCAAGGTCACCGCGGGGCAGGCCGGAGCCCCAGGCCAGCGGCTCACCATTCGAGCGGCGTTCGGGGCCCACGGCGGGAGGACGGCTGCGCCACGCCAGCCCGGAGCTGAAGCGGAGGCCGGAGGCCGCGGGAGGCGCCGCGGCCGCAGGAGAAGGCGGAGTGCCCGGGACATGGTGCTCGGCAGCGTGGGAAGAATTTAGGGGCGGCTTTGGCCACACCTTCGGGCCCTCTGTCAGTAACTATTTCGCCCGCGGAGTTACCCTATCAACAGCCTCGAACCCAACCGTGGGGCGGGACTAATCTTAAGTGGCCAATAAGGAGGAAGAGGGAGGGTTAACTTCCGAGGGGTTTGTAGTGCGGATGTTTGAAGCCCTCGGGTTTATGGGAAACTACTGAGAAAGGAATTATGGGTAAGAAGGCTGGGGTTCCTTGGAGCGGGACTGTCAAATGTGACTGATCAGAGGCTAGGGTTTTAGCTGTGGAGCCATTGATTGGTTGGAGAGATAGATACATAGATACATAGATACATAACATATAATATATAGAGAGTTAGGGTTAGATATATATATATATATATATATATATATATTTTTAGGAAGAAGTACTCTTTTCTTTATCTGCAGTTATCAACACGAATCTGTGTCTTCCAGGTCACTTCTTCTGCTCACAGTTGCAAGGGAAGGAGGGGGGAAAAAACACAAATATTTTCATGGTGGTGACAAAGAAGTAGCAAGTAATATAAAATTACATCTGAACCAGGATTTTTATCTCTTACACATGTAACCCCAGGTGTTGGAAGGCCCTGGCAAAAGGCCCGAAGTTTCAGTTCAGCCTGGACTACCAAGACATCCCCTTTTTCAAAAGAAAAAAGAAAGCAATAATAGGTAGATGGTGTCCAGATGTCTGTGTCCCTGAACCTTCAAAAACAACACTATCAAGAAATAGAGCAGCAGGGTGTTAGTGGCTCAGGTCAGAGTCCTAGCTACTCGGGAACTATCTGGAGGCCCCAGATTTAAAGACAGCCTGAGAAGAAAAGTCGGTGAGACTCCCATCTCCCATTAATTAGCAAAGATCAAGGCTGGAGGAGTAACTCAAATGATAAAGCAATGAGGCCTTGAGTTTAAACCCCAGGTACTCGTAAAAAAGAAACAGAGCAAACCTCTAGGTAGCATTATTTATATAATTCTGGCTTATAAGTTTGAATCACATATTTAAAATATAAAATGTAACTAAGATTTGAAATAGTTGAGTAGAACACTCCATAAAAAAAATACAATTTATCTGTATCTTTTTTTAGATTTTTTTAAATCGTCAAAGTGATGTACAAAGGGGTTACAGTTACATAAGTAAGGTAATAAGTATATTTCTTGTCATACTTGTTACCACTTCCCTCGTTTTTATCTTCTCCACCTGTCAACTGAGAAATTACTGGAATTCTTGAAAAAGTGAAACGAATGATCATTTAAAAGGCAGAAAAAAAGAAAAATATCAGTCATAAAAAGCAATAGTATTAGGAAAAAATAGACCACTCCTCCCAAATATTTATATTTTCCACCATTAACCTAAAAAGCAAGCATGCAACAGGAGGATACCTGTCTGTAATTCTGGCTACTGGAGAGGCTGAAATCTAAAGGGTCACAGTTCAAAGCTAACCTAGATAAAGAGGTCTTGAGATTCTATCTCCAAATTAACTAGCAAAGATCCAGGCTTACAACATGGATCACATGGTAGAGTGTCACCTAGATGAATGGATCAAGAAAATATGGTATATATACACAATGGAATTCTATGCCTCCATCAGAAAGAATGACACTGCCCTATTTGTTAGGAAATGGAAAAACTTGGAAAAAATTATATTAAGTGAAGTAAGCCAGGCCCAAAGAAACATAGGTCCCATGGTTTCCCTTATTTGCAATATCTAGTATATGTATGAGTCAAGCGGAAAAGGTCAGATAATGTGATGTTAGGAAAATGAACCCTTAGGTATGTATTTTAATGCTTTTTTATTTCATGCATTTGTTTCTAACGCATTTATAAGATTATCTCTTTGTTGCTTTGTATGTCCCTCCCCCACAGTATAACCCCTGCTTTCACTATATTTGATGTCAGTATAACTTATGGAGGAGATGGGGAAAAACAAGTCGTTTAAAGATACAGGTGGACCTGTTACAACAATGAGAAGTACAAGGTCATGTCGAAAACGAGCTTTACGGCTGCAATGCTTGGTAAGAAATGTACGCATTATCCTGCCCATGTACTTGTAACCCCTCTGTACAGTATGTTCACAAATAAAATAAAATTAAATTAAAAAAAAAAAAACGAGCTTTACAACGTTGGTGGGGGGGAAGGGGAGGGAGGAGGGAGGGTGGGGGGGTAGGGGGGAGGTAGGGAAGGGATGTGAATGGTAAACAAAGGAGGAGGCTGCAATGCTTGATAAGAAATATATGCATTATCCTGCCCATGTAATTGTAACCCCTCTGTACAGTATGTTCACAAAAAAAAATTAAATTAAATTAAAAAAAAAAACAAAAAACTAAAAAAGACAAAGCAGCCAGGGGCCCTGAATTCAAGCCCCAATTCTGCTAACAAAGATAACCAAGCAGCATTAGTTAAATATGATGATACTGGTTTGTTTGGTTTTTTTTGTCATTTGATTAAAAGGAAGCACAGAAACATTATCAAATACTGTCATTTCCTAATTATGGTTTTGCTGTATTTACTTCACTCATATATTTGTTAATAAAGGAAAATAACATTTCTAAGACTGGCATTTTTTTCATCTTCCCAGAAGCTCTAATTATTTGGATTTTTTTTTTACCTTTTTCCAGGTTAGCTATGATTTCCTTTTTTCATCAATCGTTGGATACAGACATTAATTTTAAATTTTTACTGTAAGATTTTACTGTTTTATAACCAAAGTCTACCTTTTTAACTTGATCATTTTTCCATGTATGAACATAAACTATTTTATTTATCCAGCTTCTTTGGGGGGCAGAGAATGGTTACAGCAGTTTGAATTCGGGGCTTTGCACTTACTAGGTGGGAGCTGTAAATCTGAGTCATGCCTCCAACCCTTTGTTTTCTTCTGTTGTTGTTTTTATATTTGTCTTGTGACAAGATCTGACTTTTTTTCCCCAGCTAACCTGGACTGTGACACTCTTAATTATGTTTGTGGATGCAACACCAGGCCCAGCTTTTTCTATGAAGATGGAGTCTCTCAAATTCTTTTGGAGGGAGAGAGGGGAGAATCTGTTCTGGTTTGACCTGAAAACATGATCCTTTCCACCCTCAGTTCTTAATGAAGGGTATTTTTTGCTATCACATTCAATATTTTAAAAGGAATTTCTGATTTCTTAATAGATTTCTCTTCACTAGGTAATATCTCTATTCTTATTGTTGCTCATTATTTTAAAGTATTGTGTAGCAATACTCTTTTATCTATACCACCTATATATTAGCCATCATTATATAGTTCCTTATTAAGTCTGCTAAAAACTCTACATCAAGGATCTACATTATATGTGTTTATTTTAGGAGACAACATTTTACTTACACAAAATAATGTTTTTATTCTGGTTGGAGCTTTTTTTAATCCTGAACTTTCCTGATAATAGTACTCATCTGTTTTACTATTGTGGACAATATCTTGCTAGTGTGTCTGTTTTACTAGAAAGCAAATCAATTTACTAAAACAAAATTCAAGAATTTTTTTTCATATGGGACATGTGAGGAATGCATTGGTTTTCTTTATTGTTCTAAATTACAACACTGGATGAAAATTTGATAGCAAAATTCAAACCTTCTCAATCTTACTATTCTGGGGCTGAGAAAAAAGCTAGTGATAGAAAGCTTAGCTATGATGTGTGAGGCAGAGTTTGATCCCATTACTTAAAAAAAAATCTCATTATTCTAAATGAAGACTTTGAAGATTCTAAGTTAGAATACCTCCTAACCTGAGTAATAGAGGTTATCTAAGAGAAAACTTGATAGGAAATTTGAAAAATACAGCCATGAAAATCTTCTAGAAAATAGAGGAAACATTTCTTTCTCTTTTCCTTGAAAGAAGCAAAGGATAATTGTATAGATAAATTTATAAAATTAGAAAACCAACCAAACATCTTAACTGTGTGAAAAACAGTAGGAAAATGCCTTTAAGAAAAATATATTTAGTCTCAAGAAAATTTCATATAAATAGCAGATATGAACTGGAGAGAAAATTATGTCAAATAGGCAAAGATAGGCCTTCCAAGGAACGAAAGGATTAGGAATTCTAAAGACTTCACACCTCATTAGAAAGCAGAAAACAGTTGATACCTTCAAATAGTTGAGGAAGGAGCTGGGAAGGTGGCTCAGTGGTAGAGTGCTTGCCTTGCATGCATGAGGCCCTGGGTTCGATTCCTCAGCACCACATAAGCAGAAAAAGCCAGAAGTGGTGATGTGGCTCAAATGGTAGAGCGCTAGCCTTGAGTTGAAGAGCTGAGGGACAGCACCAGGCCCAGAGGTCAAGCCCCACAACCAACCAAAAAAAAAACAAATAGTTGAGGAAAATTGTTGCCAACTTGGTATCCTTTTCCTAACCAAATTAAGTATGTGGAAAGTATAAAAATATCTCCACATAATAAGTGGGCGAAAGACTTAAAGAGAAACTTCTCTGAAGAAGAAAGAAGGATGGCCAATAGACACATGAAGAAATGTTCAACATCCCTAGCCATAAAAGAAATGCAAATCAAAACAACATTGAGATATCACCTCACTCCAGTTAGAATGGCAAAAATCAAGAACTCTAACAACAACAGATGCTGGAGGGGATGTGGACAGAAAGGAACCTTACTTCATTGTTGGTGGGAATGTAAACTTGTTCAACCACTTTGGAAAGCAGTATGGAGTTTCCTCAAAAGACTCCACATAGAACTCCCCTATGACCCAGCAATCCCACTTTTGGGCATTTACCCAAATGTTTACAAACAAGACCACACTAAAGCTACCAGCACAACTATGTTTATTGCAGCCTTATTTACCATAGCTAAGATATGGAACCAACCCAGATGCCCCTCAGTAGATGAATGGATCAAGAAAATGTGGTATATATAAACAATGGAATTCTATGCCTCCATCAGAAAGAATGACATTGCCCCATTTGTTAGGAAATGGAAAAACTTGGAAAAAATTATATTAAGTGAAGTAAGCCAGGCCCAAAGAAACATAGGTCCCATAG